GTTTCAGAATATCTACAAGTACAAACAATAATATAAACAAGGATATAGTACAAAATGTAGTTTTAGATACCACTGTTTTGTTCATCGTAGTTGTACACACAGCCAGCCTTCTATACCTTTTCTTCAATATGTTCACGTGTAGAATTGATAAGTAGTATTTACACTATTATAAAAGAGTTTAGATTTGTGCGCGGGCCAGGCGGGCTGATGGCACTGGCAGGCGTCACAAGACTCACGCGTCGTCATCAGTATGCGCACAGCGAATGCGTGTCGGCATGCGACGCCGTCCGCTCCGAGCGCCTACTTCTATGTTTACATCACCAATAACCAACAATTTGATAGAAACGAATTCACCAATATAATATTCATAATACCTTGTATATAACAATTATATTCAAATAACATAAAATAACAATCTGTAAATTCTTCAAATGTGTAATAATTTAAGTAAACTAGTTGGCATTCAAAAGGATTTAAATACAAGCATTGTATAAACCAGCGATGCCACTAACGACTACATAACTGCCTCATCTGTCGTTTGTTCTCTGATTGAAATTAAAAACTATAATATACTTAAAAAACGTGCACTTGTCTTCTAAATTATTTTGATTTCCGTAATGTCAAAAGTACATATATGAAATTGTTTTTACGCCGAATTTCTCTTTTCTTTTGTCTCATAAATCCTTTGTCTTTGTTTTATAAATTCTGTTTCTTATAAATCGCTTTTTGTGCGCAACAACATGGCATAATTATAAACAGACTTGATACATCGTGAATGTTAAAAAAAATGTGTTCAATTTTGTCAAGAACTGTTAAATCTCATTACTTCGAGACACATGGGAAATACTTTACGTGAGAACACGGTTCGTAATTGTGGAGATATTACCACGCCCTCGATATATAAGCGTCACATCATTTCTACAACACCGATGCGTATAGCTTGTTCATATCGTCAACAGTATCGTGTGCACATTCTCAAGAAAACGAGAAAAAAATTGCAAATATCGAGTGCAACTGCGATGGACGGGGGTATACGAGTACACAGTACAGAATAGACGCATGGCGGGCGCGGGGCCCGGTTGCGCGGAGCCACGATGTCAATCGCGTTTTTTTTACTTCCTGCTCAGTCAGACAATGGCGGGAAAATGTTTTCTACGTGTGGGGAATAGCGGGGTGTGGGGTCAATAGCGGGAGCACTAATCTCTATCGGGATTGTTCGGATTAATGGGTCGTATTGCCGTTTCTGTTGTTTGTTTTCTTAATTCTTGGTTCGTCGTATTTTAGAGTTTAGAAATTTCTTATTACAGAACATTAATGCTAATACAATGTTTTTCTTTTTGATTTGACATGACATGACATTTTGACTTGACATGTATACACTGTGTGGTAACATTTTATGCCCAACAATCTTTTTTTCATCAGCGAAAACTAAATACAATTACAGAACAATACGTTGTAACATCTCACACTCTGTTGTAATTTGACCTATATTTACAAATAAATGACTGATTCTGATTCTGGAACAGACATTAAGAAATGGAAAGTCTGGTTTAGTATTTTCGTGTCAAGGTAACGGTATAATGTACACATTACTATTCCCATTGTTATTAAAAACTCTAATGCAAAATGTTTGTGACTCAATCATGCTAGAACGGCTGAATGATGGATAAGATGAGAGGATCTGGATGATACTTTGGCACGGATACTTTATTTGTAAAGTCTGGATGGAAATATTGATTAACAAAAACATTAGCGCAAGTGAAATCTATGTGATTTATAAATAATAGTCAATAGGTAATTACTCAACTAAATATTATAATTTAAATGAACTGGTTAAGATGGGTACTGAAATTGCCAAGTACATAGGAAGCGTATTACGACATTGAAAAACAATGAAAATGAAAAGCCATTGAGCGCCCGGCGCTCTTGACCGACTTGGAATGAACGCAACGCCAACCAACCATTTATCCAACGTTAAACTGAATTTCGTTTCGTAAAAGTGGAAGTAAATAAATACGAGCCCGTTTATTTATATGTAGGTAATTGTTTATCAAGCACCGGTTTATATTGTCTTAGAGAGTACCTAATATTGATTTCAGTACTTTTTGGTCAGTATTTGCATGATACTTTTATAACAATGATAGAACGTGTCTGTAATGTGTTTCTTAATATTTAAGAGAGAAGTGAATAAACATAGTAATCATGTTTTTTTTTGTTCTGAACATACAAGTGTCAAAGGTTAATGCTGGGGATAAAAATCGGGGATACCTCGAAGGACAAACTACGTTTATGTATTTTCTAATTTAACATAATCTATAATTTTTCTTCTTCTATATATTTTTTTAAATATATAATAAATGTACATTAGCAAAACTTTATGAATTAGTCATAAATAAATAACATAGTTATGATTAAATAATAGAATTAATTTGTGTGTGTTACTTAAAGTATGTATGTTAGGAATACATTAAAACCTTACTAAATATACAAAGCATCGTTTACCTGTAATAGCATTAGCCATTACGGGTAAATGCTTTTATACTCATATTTTATTTTAATTGTTGCTATATGTTATTATAGTTTACCTAATAGTCATCAATGTTAGAGATGCAATAGATATCCGTCGTAGGCCAGATACCGGTGGGTTTAGGTAGGCTTTATTGCCACATTACAAATATAATCGCTAAATTTCCATTTAAAACAATATTAATAGTAATTAGAGTAATTAGACAAATTATAGTGATCGATTCTTAATTTATTTAATACTATTTAATATGACACTATGAGAAAGAGCATTCCGCTGTACCTACTTCTTTGCTTTTGTGGGTATTTCATTCATGTTAATGGTGAGAAACTTGCTAAAGACATTACACTGTCTAGCGTTAGTTGAAAATATTTGTTGACGAAAAAACTAAATGTATCCGGTATCCGGTGAAACAGGTATTCATTTCATCTGTGATCAATAGGTTGTTTATAAGTTGTAAGAGCGATAATAAATTTTTACACTAATAATTGTTCAAAAAGAACTCCAAGTTGCATAAATAAATTAAAATAAATCTGTATTATTCATTTATATATATAACGGAATATATTTACGTTACTGTTGCCTAACGTCAGCTCACCAATCATAGTCATCACCCCTTACATAGTACTCGTATTGGTTTCTCCGATGTGTGGACTAAAATTGTCAAGCAGGTAACGTAAACTGCTCAGCAGTTGCTAATGATAAGTTCGCAATCCGTTATATATATATTATACTTATTGTTGAGTGGTTTGATGGTTATCTTTAATTTTCGTTATCAGTGCCACTTCATTGAGTAGTTTTTTTTAACAGCATGTGTATCTTATATAAAAAAATACTGAAACGAATGTAGGTATGCCTGTAATTTTTTAAGAGTTTCGTAAATTTCTTAAGATCCTGATCTGATGACAATGACATCAACTAGACAGTAAGGCCTTTTAAATAAAAAAGAATTTTTCAAGACTCTTTGAGTAAGTATTCAGATAACATAAATAAAAAAAAAATTACCGCCTCTCTTTTTCTGCAACAGGTAAAATATTATGAAGTCTGTTATAAAGCTGTCATTATATTATTTTAATTTCTTTATCTTTAATGTTTAGTTGCAGAAAAGTTCAATTAGTACAAAATATACTGAAATATTTTATATAAAAATATTTTACATATTTATTTGTTAGCCAAAAACTTAATAGTACATTGCTTATGACTTACATGAAAAGTTATTAAGATTCTTTCTGTTATTTTAAAAGGTATCTGAGTGTGCTTATGAATTATACCGTTATTCTTTTTCATCCATCGCTTACGAGTAGGTACATATTTCTTCTCTCAAACATAATTGAAAGGTAGGAGAAAACTGTTTTAAAAATACTGCTTAACTTTATTCAGGCGACAATTTCTTCTTCCACTTTACCTAACACACATCACACATCATCAAGGCATCTAGATTGTTAACACACATGGAATATTTAATGTTTTCTTTTCGCGTAGGTAAGTAAATATTCAGCTGAATCAAATCCACCCATTAGGGAGAGCGCTTGTACTAATTTAAAATAAAATTGTTAAAACACATAGACGGTGCTTTCACCAAATGCCAGACTAACTTTTAACGAGGATATGTTTGGTTTCGACCAACCCTTTGGTGATTTTACTATCGAGTCTGACTGCAAATAACTCCTTAATTGACTTCAAACAACTTCTGGCTTTGTGAATAGTACCGTGGTTTCTACCTTGTTTTGAAATTCGATGTCTACCTGAATATTATCTGATACCTTATGAAGCAATTAATTTAAATTAATTAGTTGTATTTAAAATAACAAATTAGAAACCTACACATTATTATACGTGTATTGGTCGTATTTTCTACTAGCAAATTAGTTTAAATGACGCAGGACTGTTAATCCTTCTTTTTTTTTAAAGGAAGTGGTGAAGACATAAATTTAGTAAAATTAACTGTTATTCTTTTTGTGTAGAATTAGTAATTACCATAAAATTAACATAAAAAAATTGAAAATAAAGTGGCGTCTTTGAGTTCGATTGAAATCGCTTGCGGTTGTTGTTGGCGGTTGCAAGTTTAGTTAGATACATATTCAAGCAAAAATACATTCAGTTTACAAATGAATGAAATCTCGATTAGGTATTAAGGCAAGTAGGCAAGCCGAGAGCAAATTTGATTTAGGATATTACAAATAAAGAAAGGAAAGACTCTATTCAACACCGCAGATTTTGATAAAAGATCTAGGGCTATTGTTTCTACACAGTTGAAGGAGAGAAACAGAAGATAATTAGAAAAATTTAAACAACTTTATGAAGAGACAGAACTTACCCGTTTTAGAAGATCAATACAAAAAGACAGCAGTATATAAAGTTCTTGTAATTTTTGATTAGGCATCGTTTTGGTTTGTGAGTTAAACAGATAGAGTTGATTTCATATAATTATTTGTTGAAGGTGTAACGAGTGGAGGCGGGCTGCGGCGGCGGCGGCATGATGGACTGCCTGTGCCCGGCGCCGCGAACGTTGGCCTGCCGCGTCGTGTTGCTTGACGAGCGGGAACTACTGCACGAGATACAGGTAAACCACATTCATCAACTAGGGCGACTTTCCTTAAGGGATATATATTTAGGTGCATAGAGAACAATTGTGTGATTTAACTTTCTACCACAAAGCTTAAAAGTTACTAACTGCAATAAGTTACCGTAGCTGTATTTTTTTGTTTACAACCGATACAAGAATTTCGAGTGTAATAAGTTGGACGCGTGTATTTGTGTGTATGAGCTATGATATCTTAACTGTTTACACTGATGTTATCTCAATTTTTATTAAAAGGTACCTCGGTCGAGTGTTTTAACTCACAATTAAAAAAGGGGTTTAAAATAAAAAAAATAAGCTTCTGACCACAAACTACGCAGATGCGTAGGCGACTGGCGAGGATGGAGTTTATGTTAAAATGCTCCAGATAGGATGACTCAAAGTACTCAAACCAGTTGTTAATCTCTTCAATAAAGTATTGACTTAGATCCGACCTGATGCATTGAAAAACGCCATCGTCTCTCAACCGCAAGGGGAGAAAACGCAATTAAAAAACTACAGTCTCTACCCATAAGACTCTCAGATCTAGAAGTTATTCGCAAAGGTCTTATGCAATCGTTTGTCGTGTACTCTCGACGATTACCAACCGGCCTATCAGGGCCTCAATTCTGCTATTTTATGTTAACCGATGTCAATGGCATCTCAATAGTGTGTCAATGGAATGACAATGGCTCATCAATGGTGATATCAACAACATCGCCATTTCAGGAAAATTAAATCTTATAATTTCCTTAGAAATTTAATATGTACCGTTTACCAAACTATTACAAAGACATCGACGACATTTGTATCAGTGGCAAGCCATCTGGAGGCCATTGGTCTTATATAGTTAGTAGAATACGAAAAGTGCAAAACTATTCCGACGACTATCCATCGACAGTCTATTGATACAATATTAAAATAGTAATATTATAACGTTATAAGCCACGTACTTACTGTTTTTGACTGATTTTGGCCTGTTTAACTTAACTTTGAAAAGTCATGCTTCCGAACGAAAGGGCCGACCGGAGTGGTACCACTGCCTCACAGAAAACCGGTGTTAAGCAATTCTTTGGTTGCTCTTCACTGAGTGAGTGAGGTTACCTGAGCCCAAATCCCGCCTCCCGCTGACCCGAGCGGGAGGGACTCCAAGGGCGGCAACGCGCATGTGACTTTTGAGTTGCAGGTGTCCATTGGCGGCAGTCGTTGCTTACCATCAAGGGGTCACTTGATGGTCTGCTAGTTTGCCTCCTTATACCATAAAATAAACTGGTGGTATTTATGGTAGTATGCTTTAATTAGTTTTGACAAATTAAGACTTTTCTTCTTGTAACAGTTTTAGTGTATAAGTCTTAAGTTTTAAAGAAATAATCAAAAATAAACAAACAACAAGTGTACGATTGCGCGGCTATAAATTCCAAGTTAAATATTTTGTAAAATTATAATTCTTTTTTCGATTTTTTTTGACAAATTCAGTCTTCAATTGAAAAATAGAATTAGATCTCTAACTTAAGTAGTGGCTGAGATCTCTTTGGCCGCGCAATCCGTTTCGTTCGCGCGGCCAACCTCAAACCCTTATAACTTCTTTATTTCTCCTTTGACATATTTTTGGTTTGTGCCTTTCGATTTTGATTTTTTTTTTTCAGTTTCGATAACGTGGCGGCGTAATCGGATTAGGCTGACTTCCGAAGTGGTTACTCCATAGTAAATCATTTACACACTGTCAAGCAATTGATGGAGAGATCTAGATAATATAATATTATGAAAAGGCATTCGACAGCGTCGAACACTGGGCGGTGTTTCACTCTCTCCATCAATGCAATATTGACAAACGCTACGTCAACATACTTCGGGAGCTCTATAAGTCTGCAACAATGCAAGTACGCATGCAAAAGTTATCTGACCGGCTATACCCACAAGCCGTGGAGTGCGTGAAAGGGATACGATCTCACCAAAACTTTTCACATGTCTTTCGGAGGACATCAAGAAAACTTTAGATTGGGAGAAGAAAGGCATTAAGATCAACAGCCGCCACATGTCACACTTGCGTTTTGCCGATGACCTCATTGTGTTTGCCGGATCCGCAGCAAAACTCTAGTTCATGCTCGCCCAATTCCATGAGGCTTCATTGAGCGTCGGCCTCAGGATGAATAATAAAAAATCATCCGTCCCACATATCTAACATTGATGTCGATAACCTCCGAATAAAGACAGTAGATGAGTATGTTTACCTGAGTCATCGCCTATCCTTTGGCCGGGGCTCCCAGTTGAGGGAAATTGCTAGGCGTATTCAAGTGGTGGTGGTGGTGGGCTGCTGCTGAAAAATCAGAATACGTCTTCAAGTCCCCCAATGTCTGAAAACCAAGATATTTAAGCCATGGGTTTTGCCTATTCTTACATATGGATCCGAAACATAGCCTCTCACAAACAAGCACATGTATGCCATAAGGGTTGCTCAAAGAGCCATGGAGCGGGCCATGCTAGGTATCCGCCTTGTGGTCCATATACCATACGTCGAAATTCGACGCCTCACCAAAGTCGAGGATGTGGGTATATGGATTGCGAGGCTTAAGTGTAGATGGGGAGGGGCAAAGAAAGAAGATTACTTAAAATACCGTTCGAGCGAATTATAAGCTTGCCTTGTTAGCAAGCAAGTTTTCACACCCGTCTGACCAGCGTGGCATAGGTAGTAGGTCAAATCCTCCTTTCTAAGGAGAGGCATTCTTTTTGGAAACCCCCTCGGGCCGTCACCCCACCGGGGTTTGCGGCAGGGTGGTGTGTCAGAATCGGACCGACTAAAACCACACGGTATGCCACTCTGCGCCTATAATAGGAGAGATCCGAAAACCGCTATTATTAATCCGGCACACGCGGACGTCGCCTCCTCGCAGCTGCCGTTTTGGCAGATGGAGGGGAAAACCCGTCCCGTCCACCCGCGGCCACACTCAAGGCGGCATGAGGCGATGGTAAGCGCGCCTTCGCCGCCCGGTTCGCCGACGACGAATTGGGTCCGAGGAGAGGTTGTCCCTCTCCGCCGCCTCCTTCCGCGAGATGACGTCTTCGCAGAAGGATGCGACCGCGGTAAAACGTCTGTCACTACCGGCCATGGAGCGTATGACGGCCGGTAGCAAGAGATCCCCTCCGATGACTGCAATGAAGAGTCGGCGTGTGCTGAGCCGAGTCCTCATTGCAATCGCAGTGGTGACAGGCGGGACTCAATTCCCTCCTAGCGACCCAGTGCAGGGACTTCCCAAAGCAGCCGTGCCCGGAAAGGACCTACGTCAGCCGGAAGGAAAGAGTCCCGTGCTGCCGCCCTGCCCACTCGACGATGACCGGCTGGAGCGCCTCCACGGTGGCAAAGCCTCCATGGGGTCACATGGGGCCTCCAGTCGGAGTCTTCGGGCGGGGGCCGAAAGCCGCTATCCGTCAAATTCAGCCGTCCGACGATATACTTCGGCGAGCACTTCCGCCTCCAAATCCCACGGGGGAGTTCCGGCCAACGCGCACGCCGCCTCCGTCGATACGGTGCGGTAACCGCGTATGGCTCTAACCGCCAATATCCTCTGAGGGCGCCAGAGGCGTGCCCTATTCAGGGCGGTCAGAGCCGCCGCCCACACCGGTGCACCGTACAGTGCCATTGACTGGACAACCCGCACGTACAGCCGTCTTGTCGCGACGCTGGCTCCTCCCAAATTGGGCAAAAGTCGCTCTAGGGCAGAAGCAGCGCCAGCTTTGGAACAAGCTGTCGGAAGTGCTCGTCGAAAAGCCACCTCCCGTCAAGAATCAGGCCCAGATACTTCATCTCAGCCTGAACCGGTACGAGGACCGAATCGACCGCAATGGAGGCGCCGGAGGTCGGACCACGACGGGGCCCATGGAACAATAGGGCCTCCGTCTTATCCAGGGCCACCCGTAAGCCCAGCACCTCAATGCGCCCGACCACCAGAGAGACTCCCTGGTGGCTAGGTGCGCAGCCTCTTGAATGTCTGCCCCCCGCGCTGTAACTAGCGTGTCATCGGCGTAACAAATAACGCCTAGCCCGGGAGGGGAGGCGACCTCGAAGGGCTCAGTCGTAACCCATGTTCCTTCTAAGGAGAGGCCTATGTCAGGCAGTGGGCTATTAAGCCTGTTGAATAATCATAATTTCATAAGAAATATGTACATAAAGATTCAGATTTGAAGGCAATTTTGTAGGTAGAACATTACAATATATATATATATATACATAACTAGTTACCCGCGTTAATGTCGGGATAAAATGTAACTAATGTATTTCCTCTAGAATCAAAGTATCGTATACCAAATTTTCAAATTTAAATCGGTCCAGCGTCTATTGATTCTCTTAAACGATGATTTCTGGAATAAAATCTACTATATGTCCTTTCTCGGGACTCGGACAATCTCTGTACCAAATTTCATATAAATCAGTTGAGCGGTTTAAGCGTGAAGAGAAAATAGACAGACAGACACACTTTCGCATTTATAATATTAGTATGGATAAGCAATGTGTAATTGACACTAGCTTAAAACTATACTGGTATAGTTATATAAACAACTCTCCAGGAAATTGCCCTTCGCAGTTAATAGACCATTTCATGAACGTTTATTTTGCTCATTTTAATTTACAATAACAAAAATAACAAAAACGGAATACAATATATCACGCACATATAATTCACATAGTTGGGTAGAAACGGTTCAAATAATCTGAATGAAAACAGTACCTATTGTTAATTCCTTAAAAATATCCATAGACACTCCATTTACACACAAAAATGATGATACTAATTTTATAGCGCGAACAGACGACAGAGTTTTATAAATCCACCTATAACCGCAAAGGACGTCCCGACACTCGAATCCCAACGGAGGCCGATAGTATTTTTCAATTTTCCCTTGTACATGAAACAACGCGAGGATTTTTCTCCATTTCTCAACCAGCACTCTTGAAATGCAGCTATTCCGCGACGAATTATTTGAAGTACACCCAGGGGCTCTAGGAA